ACTACCTCAGAGAGGCCCATTTCCACACAAGGAGACCCTTCAACCTGCAGCCAAAGGATGAAGCCTGGGGCAGACAAAAGGAGAGGGAATCCTCCACCCGCCATGCCCATGGAAAGACTCATTTTGTGTTCCGTTTCCCCCTTGTTTCTCAGCGGCCACGGGCTAGCTCTTCTTTCTTTTACTTCTATCTCCTTGCGTTGTAACTGAAGGATAAAGGAAAAGAACAAAGCAAACCTACCTGCAGGGGAAGGTGGGCGCTTAGGAAACCTTTCTGTATTTTCCTGCCTCCTTGGAGGCCTTGGCACGCCTTGTGCAGAAGCCTGCCCACCCCCTGCTCCTCTACAGCAGCCTCCTCTCATGTCCTCGTGCCAAAAGAGGGGACTGTGTAGTCCCCACTGGGCAAGCTGGAGTTCTCCCTGCAGGACCTGCATCTGTATTTCTAGTGGGTATCTATCTGGCTGAGCACCCACTCTTATCAGGTTCACTTACCTGGCTCCCAGTTAGATGCTGTGGTTATGGGGTTTACTGAACCAGACCTCTCCAGTGAATGCACACATAGAGGTGTAAAGGCAGCAGGAATAGAAAGTCAAGGGTAGTCAGGGACCACTTAGAGTAACAGCAGAGAGCATTAGGACCTTCAGGAAGTCCTGAGACACATCCCCTGCACTTGAGTTTAGAAAGTGATGTTTGTACTAATGGTGCAGAGACATCATCACAAGCTTCAGCTACTGTATTTCTAAGATGAAGGCAGTTGAACAATGGTCTGTTTTTTGAGGGAGTTCATGACCACTGGATACAAACGTGGAGGAAACTCATGGGTTAGACTTAAACAGGCCTGCTTCATTCACAGGAGTCTCTTTGGTAGATTAAGAATCTACATAGTCTGTTTTAAGGAGGTGGGAAGCTGTGTTCTGAGCCCCAAATATGATGTCTACCAGGATGAATGTTCTAGAGACTGAAACTTCTTCTCCAGTCTCTCAACATCCTAACATACTTTAATCTAGTTCATGTATCAATGATCGAAACACGAGTTCTGCATGTGAGACCTGACCTGCACTGTGGACCATTCCTGCAGCTGTCCCTTATGTGCTCTTGTGTCCACTTTTCCTGGATTTCATGCTCTGCCTTTGACATTTGGCTGACAGAGTCCTAGTGTTATGTGGGTCTTTGTAAGCAGCTGCTAAGGACTTTGTTGCTGTCTGCTATGATCCAGAGCCCCTCAGTCGTTATAGCTCCAAGATCTGTGCACCTCCTGAATATTGGGAAAGGAATAGGAAAGTGACTTTCTCTATCAAGTCAGTGTGCATGGTGGTATATCGTGGCCAATGAAGGTAAAGAATCTAGAGAAATGCCTATCTTGTTCTCCTGCTGTACTAAGAACCTGTGTAAACTGGTAATGACCTAGCCTAGCCTACATATACCCCTTCTCAACTGATCTGGATGCTGTGTTGCTGGGTCCTTCCTACCCTGTTTATTTATATTTATCGCATTTATTTATCCTATCCTCCTGTTGAGGGCCCTAGTTTACTTCAGGGTTCCCTGGTCTACCTGTCTTAAGGTCTGCTGCTCAACATGGGTAGGTCAGGAGCCAGAATGGTGGAGTAGCACACTCTGCCAACCCCACAACCACTAACTGGGATGCCTGACCACACAGCAGTCCTACCTGGTCTCATTGGGGTTTGCCCTGTATGTTTAGGACATGATTTGCCCAGAACTTCTGGCCATGCCACTCTGCTGAACTCTCTTCTGGAAGCTTTTGCATAATCAACGCAGTGACATGACAGTGGCTTGTGTATGGTGTACAGAACTTTGGTATGAAGAACATGCAAGTACAGTGTGATCGATGAAGGCATAAGTGGATGCTGTATGATGGCCATAAAACATCAGTAGAAGCAGATGTTTACTGCTGGGCAAAATCTTCTGTTTGTGTCTGTTTGCTTTCTGGTACCCAGCTCAACTCTTTGGCAGGCAAGTTTGCTGGAAAATGGAGCCCCGGTGTGTCAAGCAATACCATGAAAGGAATCTGATAGTGTTCCTGTTGGAAAGAAATGTCTAGTGCCAAAGTCTCTCCATGTGCAGCCTCAGGGAGAAGACAAAAATCACACGATCTGGCATAGCTGCTGCTTTTTCAGGTCTCTCTTACGACAGCAGAGGCTGCAGTCGTCAGGTGCCAGCTCGAGAGAGTCATGGTGTGGGTGTAAAACGTCCCGGACAGGCTCCTGTGTTAGAACAGTTGATCCCAGGGGAGCAGGGGAGGAGGCTGTTAGGGAAGATTGTGGAAGCTTCAGAACGCAATGCTTGCTAGCGTACGCAGGGTCATAGAGATTGGGCGTGAGGGTTAAAGGTTGCTTGGCCTTTGGCTGGAGTTCTCTCTGCTCCTGGTCAGAGGAAGTATGAGGAAGTTGATTCACAAGCTTCTATGGTCTAACACCAAACCAGCCTCAACATGATGCCTTCCCACTGTGAGGGGATCTAGCCTCTCAAACCACGAAACAAAATAAACGTTGTATCTGTTAGGTATTTAGTTGCAACAATGAAAAAGATGAACACAGGGTATGATTGAAGAATCTGAAATCCAACCTCGCCAGTGTATGGGACAAAACGGCCGTTAATACTGCCTGCCTGTGCAGGACCGTGTCATGGGGTCATTCTTCCTTGTGTAGTAGACACTTGAGAAAACAGAGTGTGAATTGCCTAACTTTCATTATTCCAGTGGTACCCATTCTTTTCTTCCCTTTCCCAACGCATAAATATTTAGGGGCCCTTCTCACTGGCATGACTTTCAAGGCCATGTTTCAGAATTCACGAAAGAGACACTATCAGCAGGGTACCCATAGAATTCACAAGAGATACATGGTCAATAAGTTACCCAATATAGAAGCTGTATTCTACTCCCTGGAATTGTTTTAACCCTTTCAAGTCACAAATGAAACATTTAACTCTCACTGATTGCATTAGAACATCTAGACAGACAGATAACAGCAAGAAAAAAAGAGGAGGCTGCTGGGAAAAGGCAGATACTAGATGGGTGGAAATAATGTCCTATTATACTCCATAAATCTATAAGTAAATACATTGATTCAAATGTGGATGATCTTTGTTAGCAGGCAGACAGAGATTGTATCCCTGATAATTAGTTGGTTTTTGTACATTTTTCTGAGAGTCTCTAATGAAAGGAAGCCACGTAGGAAGGTTGACTGTTATAGGCCATTTTCTGCCTACAGTATTTTATAATTAAACATAATTGGTGATTTTTGGAGTAAAGGTTTATAAACATGTTTCCATACAATTTAGCAAAATACAGCTTTATTGTATGTGGGGATGTCTGAACTCCAAAAACAAGATCTAGCAGCTGCCACACATTCAGCACTTTGGCCTAGGACTAGTAGAAACGTTTTCGGTGTTTTCCTTAAGAAGCATACAGAACACAGATGCACTGCCAACTTGACTCCTCTGGGCTGGACCCAAAATTCATAAAGGTGATTTTAGGGGACCCTATGCCCTAATATTGCTGCTTTTCACACTGGGCTGCATGGCCTAACTTTACCTACAATCAGCTGTTTTCAGATACACATGGGAAAAGCAAGCTACAGAAACTGGGACATTGTTGACAGGTCACCAGTGACATCCTCAGAGCAGTGTCATGGGTCCATTCTTTCTTGTATAGGGCACTCTTGAGAAAACAGAATTGTGACTCTCCTAACTTTGATTACTCTAGTGGTACCCACTATTTTTCCCTGCCCTAACACATAAACATTTAAGGGCCCATTTCATTTACAGTGGTTGCTCCCACCTCCAATGGAGCTTTTCCTTTAGGGACATCAGCATGGGGTGATAGTAACTCAAGAACAGTCATGACTTTATTTAAAATAGGCATCTAAGTCTTATTGAATATTGTGAAAGAAAGTTTGGGGTTTTTTTTATATCAAAGCCTATTAGACATCCGAGAGGAAGTATCTCTTCCATTCTCACTCCTGGCCTTCATTGTCCTTTTCCTCATCATCATATTTCTCTAGAGGTATCCTATGCAAAGACGCGTTTGCTCTGAATGTCCCTCATTTTGCGTTGTTTGTTTAACAATATAGTTGCAAGATGAGTGCACATTTATTCAACACCTGTCTCTTTAAAGTGCTGCTGAACACAGGTGCATATAGCTTCTTTCCCTGGTTCCTGATGAGTGGACATAGGTGTCTGGGGAATTGGACATCACACTGTGGAAACAGCATGTGCCACATATCTATAGATCCATCTCTTCCTCAGAGCTTGACAGAGGCATGATGTTCTGCTTGCTGCCTCTGCACTTGCTGTAACATGCAGCTTGACATCAGTTTCTGTGATAATAGGAATAATCCAATGCTTAGTGTGTATCAGATGCTCTATGCATTGTTATTTTCTTGTTATCTGTTTGAATATTTGATATTTACATAAAAATGTTATTGGGTATACTAAACATAATGAAATACATTCTATAGCATATGTCCTAGTTCTACATTTTTTATGTAAGATCCAATGAGAGAGTAAATGAGTATTACTTAGTATTCACTCATTCTATCATCACCTCACCTAGATTTTATAGATGAGGCTGTGAGTTTAAGTGGTAGAGCTGGGGATTTGAACTCAGGTACCGTGGGTCAAGTCCGAATTCAAGATTCTCCATTCCCTATTCAGATGAGCATGATAGGAAAGGTAATAGGACTTTCGAAAGGCACCACTGGGCAGAGTCCCATACTAAATGTATGGTGACAGTGTATAGAAATGAAGCCAAATTCATGGTAACAGTGTATACAAACAGAGCTCCTAACCTGCAGTTCAGAGTCAAGTACGCTGACCACATGTTGAGGGTTTGCTGTTGCATATAGCTGTACCAATACCAACTACCCAATGTTCCCTGAAGCCTTGCTATGGCCCACTAGCCAGATGAGCAGTAGTGCAGTGCATCGGGCACCTGAGAGGCAGCTAAATCAGTCATTTTGAGTCACCTCTCATTTTATTTTTACTAGAAACCAAAGTATTTTCTGGAAACAGCAAGGAGCAGCAAGGAGAAGCACAAGTGACCCTTCCTGCTTCCCCAGTGGGACAGAAGCCCATTAAACACTTCCCTCCTGACGGGGACAGTTCACCCAGCAATGATGGTCAGTCTAGCATCTTTTCTGAGCCCCAAGAGAGACGGCACCCATACTTCCTGACACCCAGAGTCCCTTTGTCTGGGTTTCTTTGCCCTGTACAAGCTGCATGTGCCTCTCTGCAGGAGGATGGTACAGTTCAGATAGAAAAAGAGTTCCCCAAAGGTAAGGAGTGAGGGTGACGGTCTCAGGGCTCATTCTTGGTCCACATAAAGAAAATAGCTCAGTGTCTTTCTGGGATGGTTCATGCAAGCTGGTCTTACGGAGAGTCGGCAGGAGGGGGCGGGGAGAGAAGGAGCAGGACTAACAAGTAGACATAGTGTGTAAGTCACACCTCACAAGCAGATAGAAGGAAGCTCTACACAGATCATGAGGCCCAAGACCAACCACACCCTGTGCCAGTGCTAGCTAAGGCCCAGAAGGCTGCCCAGGGATACAGCAGACTCTGTGGCTGAGCTTTGGAAGGTCTGGGGAGCTGGTGCAGCTGCCATGAAGGTAGCATGCCCCCCCATGCCCAGGACTCCAGTAACTGGATGACAGGGATTATAGTTAAGGGGTACAGCCCTGACACATAGCTAACACTTAGCATGAGCAACTTGGGCCCCACGGTCTACACAGTCAAGCGCCCCATCTCCATTTCCCACAGAGGAAATAACCAAGTTGGACATAGGCATCATATCCCTGTAGGTCAAGCTACTGACCACTCCTAAATACTGTAGTGAACAATTCTGTATGAAAAGACAGAAGAACGTGACATAGAATGGGCTCTGGTGCCTAGTCATACGGGCTGAGGTCAATACTCTGTGCAGTGCAGAAAGCACAGTGTGACTGTTATGTGTGTGCTGAATAATGTGGAGCCTGAAGATGGCCCACACTCAGAGAGGGTCTGGCAGAGGTGTCTCTGTCCAAAATGATTCCAAGCTGGAACTTGAGACGTCAGTGTCATTTGAGGTTTAAAATGAGACCAGAGAAGAAGACACACTGAGGGTGAAGGGAAAGGCACACAAAGCGAGGAGCTCCAGGGAGGCCTGGGCTGGTTTGGAGAATCGTGAGGGGCCCAGGAGACCAACACCAGAACCAGGGGCTTCTGATTCTTCAAGGTCCCCAGGGTGGATGTTGGAAGAGCCTCTACACCTACTGCAGGAGTTTAGGCTACAGGCAGGGCCAAGACTTTGAAAGAAAAGACTCTCAGTGGGATATATATTCCAGGTGACTATCCCATGAGCAGTATGTGGACAGATGGGAGAGGGCCTAGGCTGGGGCTGAGATCCAGTCAGGGAATAGAGAGGAGGTCTCTAAGGTGGGAGGAGCCACAGGGATGGAGACATTGTGGATTTTGGAACAGGTGCCATGAAAAGTGAGGAAGCAGCATTCCAGGACTAGCCCCAGAGTTATCGTTTTCACATGAGGATGAAGGAGGAAAAGGGTGTGAAGACCCTGGTTTCTCCATCACAGGGAGACACGGGCACAGTGTGGTAGAGAAGGGAGTTAATTTAGGAAGAGAGGGTGCTGGCTAGTGGCTAGACCTGAGCTAATCTGAGCTACTGACTAGGCCTAAAGAGAAAGTAAGACAGTGAGGGAATCCTCTAGAAGGAACAAGAGAACGTGCTTGAAGGTTAAGTAGCGTGGGATTGGCAGAGAATCACGTGACATGGGATGGAGTAAGAGCCAAGGCAGGCTGGGTCATCTGGGGGCTGAAGGGGGTAGGGAGGCTGAGTAGAAAAAGGATCCAGCCAGAGAGATGATAGTTATAAACAATGAAATGATAGCAGGGGCTTGGATGAAATGTCTCCGGTGGCCGGGAAAGCCTCCTCAGCCACCTTGCCTCACCCCTTTCTAGGCCCTATACCTGGTGCTGTGGGTACATGTGAAATAAGCATTAGATGGTACGGTGAGGTGAAGACATGATCCTTTCAATGGCTGTGGAGCCTGCATGGGACTGGACTAGGCCCTCTGCATGGCAAGACAGTTGTGTAGCTTGATCTGCTTGGGGGGCCCCCTGGCGGTAGAATCAGAATCCATCCCTGGTGCATGAGCTGGCTTTTTGGAGCCCACTACCTATGATGGGACACCTCGTGCAGCCTTGAGGCAAGGGAAAGGGCTTGTCTTTACTGGATGTGCTTCCCCATGGGAGGCCTCTCTTTCTTGTGGGGGGGGGCAGTGGAGGATGTGCTGGGAGGGGGAGGCTAGGGGGCATGAGGAGGGAAGAGGGGGATCTTTGATTGATGTATAAAATGAATGAAAAAATTTTCTTAGTAAAGAAAGAAAGAAAAAGACAGGATCCTAAAACCAGTCTTATGACTATGCTGCAGAATGTAGGTGGCAGGGATGCATCCTGTCTTAGGAAGGGAAGGAGGGGCCCTGATAGTCAGGACTCAGCTGGAGGTGGGGATTCACCAGGAAACAGAACCAAAAGCACTTAATGGAGATTAGAGGCCATTTGGGGCAAGAAGATGCTGAGCTAGGACAAAGGAGGAGTTAGTTGAGGCTGGGGCTGAGAAGATGGAGTGGAGAGTACAGGTCAGAGGGGAAGGGTGGGCTAAGGGTGATGATGGATGGACTTATCCTTGCATTCGAGAGCAAGCCTTAGTCAGGAGGTAGCCTGGAACAGTTGCTAATTCTATTCTACTAACCCAAGAGATGGCCTCACCTGGGGTGCTAAGGGGTCAATTCATATTTTGACTCTTTCCACAAAAGGAAATGAAAATGGCCCCAGGAAAGGGCCCCACCAGCTTTGAGAAACCCTCTGATTACTTATATGAAGCCAGTGGTGGACTCTGGAAAATTAAGGGGAGGGATACATAATTGAACACCATCCCTGGTCATTATATCATTAGTGTGGCAAACACAAGACAGATTAATATGCTGTCTTGAAACAAGCAAACTGTAATAATTACACAGGACACACTTAATATGAAATCCAGACTAGAAAAGTCTCCTTTCATTTCGAGCCAGGCATTCTGAACACTGCAGTCTAAGGAACACCTCTGTGGCCTAACTAGCCAGTCATGGACTTGGGCTGACTGCCACAGTGACTAGGGCAGCCGTGAAGGTCTGTGATGAGGCTGGATCTCATGAGCTTAACAAGGTCCATTAATAACTCACTGACATTTCTATTTTCTAAATTGTCTTGGGTGTTTTCCTCCTGTGTCTGGGAGCCAGGCAGGAGAGCCACTGGGTGCCCTCTAAATGGATTGTAAATCTGCTTTCCTAGATTACACATGCTGCGACTTGGTTGTAAAACTAAAAGAATACAAGAAGCATGAGGACCACGTTGCCACCCCCGAGCCCTCACCAGCAACGCCTTCTCCAACAATGGCAGAGGGACCACAGAGCTCTGACCCATTGGAAGATAGTTCTGAGCCTCGGCATCTGCTAGCAAGCTCCATGACCTTGCAGGTAAAGCCTCCTCCCCATCCTGCTTGACCCTATCCCAGGGGAGTTTTTTCCTGGGGAGTGTGGCATTCACCTGACCTCACTGCTGCCTGTGACTGCTGGTCTCCCTGTCTCAGACCCTTCCCTAACTTTTTCTAACCTCTCTGCTACTATTTGCCTCCTGGAGATGATGACACATGACGTCACCAGGTAAGAACGAGGACTATTAGTACTATCAACCATGACTATAGCAATGAAAGGTGCTCAGAGGTCACATGGGTCACTTCACATTTGATTTTCAAAAGATCCCTATCAGATGGGAGCCCCTATATATACCCCTTAGTCAAATGGGGGTGCATAGCCTTTGAAAGATTCATGAAGCTTCCCAAATCGTGCAGTCATGAGTTGAAGGATGTGAAAGAATTTTTTCTTTTAGCTTCTTCTCTGATTATTGAACCATACATATATTGATTAAAGTTCTATCATTTAAGAGGGTCGATGAGCTTGGAGAAAACTGCTGATGCTAGCATTCTGCAGAGTCAGATGCACCTTTGGGGAAGGCACTTGCTATGGGGTACACCTCTCCCTGAATGTAAAGAAAGCTCCATTGACTCACTGCTGTAGCCCTGGGCCTTGATGAGCCTGCAGAAAACATCCAGGGTGTCTCCCAAATCCTGAACCTCTAAGATGTCCTCAGATGAGTGAACAGTAAAGCAGCAGCCACACTTTGGTCAGCAGAGTATTCTCAGGGGCTTTGTCTCCAGCCTTGACCCTTCTCTGAAGCTTCTGCACATTTAGTGACTGGTGAGTCAGTTCCTCGGCAGCTGATGGCGCTCATTGCCAAAGAGACTCCTTTATCAGTGCGTCTGCCAGAGGCATGTACACAACACACGTAGAGCTCACGGTGTGTTCCTCTCTGAGCCCCCAGTAGGCAGGGAGGGAAATAGGACCAAGGAGCACTTCTACCCCGGCAGCATACCCAGCAAACTTGTGCTGAGCACATGCTGTAGGCAGACCCAGGACAGTGCCTGTGAGAGATATGAAGTTATTGAGATGTGGCATGTATCTTCTCTACAGCTTAGCATAGAGTGAGCCATGTGGGACTCATTCTTGCACAAGGCCATCTGTGAGGTACCATGGTGCTCTGGTTGACCTTGAAGACCCAGTAGGACCTACTGGGAGTGGCTGCTGCTGGCACACTTTCTAATAGAACACTTTGAGCGGAGACATTCAAGGACTAGGAAGCTGGGACAACGAATGGTAGCAGGGAATAAGTATGGAACTTATCCTACTGAGCACCAACACACTGTCTACTAAGCTACCTTGGGCCTCATTGCTTACGTCTGTCCAATAGGAATAAAGACAACTGACTTCCAGAATCTGTGTGGGGATTCACAAAGAGGATGGGCACAAGCAACATCTCCAGTGTCTGCCATGGCAGCTCTACACGTGCTGCTTTGTGCAAGGAGATCAGAGGGATAAGACCGCTGTGGAGATGTAGGAGATTCTGATCTGTTCTGTGAAGTTCACAGAACCACTTTGTATAACAAAGACTTCTACCTCTTTCTACCCAGGAGAAGCAGTTCCCTTAGGCCACAGATAAGACTTCTGAAAAGTACCATTTTCCATGCTAGGAGGACAATGTCTGTGCTTCTTAAGACTCCACCCCCAGCAGAAATGCAGATTTCTAGCACCTGCCTTCTAGCTCCACCCATGTCTCTTAGAATGTCGAATTGCAGAGCCCTCAGATTTGAGTTCCTTGCCAGTGAGTGGCTTGGCAGCATGAATCCACAAATGGACAGATGTTGGCCATTTGTACTCAATGGCTTCAATGCTAGCTATTACTTGGTCCTGCCACAGTGGGTTCTGTGTTGCTGCCTGGAACTGACCTCCAGCAGCTTGTCATCAATGTGCCCATGCCATCATTACACAGGGTCACAGGGGGTGGGGAAATGACGACATGGATTTACCCCATGGCTTTTGCCTGCCGAGTGTTGTATTCTTGATTGGCTCCCGTTGAGTAAATCAGGTGGATGTGTTGTTCCCTGGTCTCCCTTCTCTTAAAAAAATGAAATCTGTCCTTTGTCCCAATTAGGAAGCACTGGAAGTCCGTAGACCTCAGTTCATCTCGCGCTCACAGGAACGGCTGCAAAAGCTTAAGCACATGGTACAGCAAAGGAAAACCCAGCAAAAGGAAAACCCGGGGCAGAAGCAGAGCCTACTTCCTGTTCGTGCCCACAAGAAGCAGTTCACCGTTCCCCATCCTCTTAGTGGTAAGCTGCAGGTGGCTCAGGAGGCCTGGATAGAGTGCGGACAGGTATCTGCAGGCTCAAATGATGATCTCAAATGATGCTACTGGCATGCACAGACCTCAGCACCCTGAAGCCTTCTCTGGGAGCCAGCTCATTTTGAGAGGTTACATAGGCATGCAACTCAGCAGAAATAACTTGGGACACAGATTCACCATTCTAGCTGGGAAAGGAGCCACAGCACTGTAGGAGCCAGGACAATAAGTTCAAATTCTTGGCTTCTAACGGATGCTTGCAAGTGATCTCCTTTGCCCTTTATAGATTGCAAAACAGACCTCAGGGTGAGAAGTTGACTCCAGCTTGTCTGCATCAACATTTGTCATCTTGAGACCTCTTCCTGCTATGAGCTCAGAGGAAGGATGGCCAGCTTGCCCAGCACTGTGAGGCCAGGGTCAAGTCGACCCTGAGAGGCAGGGCACTCTCATAGGAAGAGTTAACAGAAACCTTTTCTGGGCCCAGCACTATATGGGGGGCTGGGAACATCGCTGTGAGCAAGACTGACCTCAGTCTTCTTCATGGACCTCATAAACAGGCCCTTGAACTAGCAAGAATAACAAGAGATGAAGGGAAGAACCGGAATATCAGAGCACTTATGTAGGGCTTGCCAACCCAAATCTTAAAATCCGCAGGCTCAGAGAAGCCTCTGGTTTATTGCTGTGAGTACAGGAATGAGGAGGTCTCCTTAGGAAAATGTTTTGGTCCTCAGGAGATGAAATCATAAGTATGATTCTGAGTAAAAGTCCTCTGGGGGAAATAACCATATTCAGTAAACTGCAGCTTAGCAAGTTTACCAAGATCTCAGGAGGAAGGGGATGCAGGAGACAGAGAAGAGGACCTCTGTAATAGGTTCCTATTAGACTGTTTTGTGGGTAGACTGGCTCCTTCCTGCCATCCAGAGCACTTTAGGAGAGCCATTTGGGGACCAAAGCAAGGCCGCACTTGAATGCATCGTTGTTGTGCAAGGGATCTGGAAAGTTACCTGTTGCTTCCATCCCATGACACATTCCAGGATGACGAGAAATGAAGACACTAGAGGGATGTGCCAAGGGCTGGCCCAGGGCACGTTGTGTGTCTAGCTAGTGTATCAAGCTAGGTACAGACACAGGCTTGGTCCAGGTGTGTTCTCTAGGGCACTGTTCAGTCTCTAGCTCAACAAAGAGCTCCTGTTTCAGGCACAGAGGTCTCAAGGTACCGTGACGACCAAGTGGCAGCCACAGTGGGAGTGTCCCCTAGGCACCTTCGCTCACACAAGGTACTGAAGATTTTACTTGGTCTAAATGTTAGGCTACCGACACGGATGTCAACAGATAAGCACAATAAGTGCACACACACACAGGATGACGTTGGAGGATCTCCATTTCTAGCCTTCAGTTTGCACAGGAAGCAGCAGCAGAGACCTGTGGCTGTGGGGAGCTTATTCAATATGGTGATGTGTTCGTTCATTTTACATCACTATAACAAATAGCCGAGACAAATCGACTTGCAAGGAGAAAAGGGTTGATTTGGGCTCAGTTTTTGACGTTTCAGTAAGATCGGTTAGCGCCATTGCCTTTTGGCTTATGGCAAAGCAGCACATCATGGTGAGATGGGCAAAGTGGAGCAAAGATGCTCATCTCACAGGACCGGGAAGCAAAGGAGAGAGGATCCCAGGATCCCACAGTCTCCTTCCAGGGCACACCTCCGATGACCTGAAAATGCCCACTTTACCCCATCTCTTAAAGTCTCTACTACCTTCCTGCAGCTCCAAGCTGGGGGCTGAGCCTTTCACACACAGGAAGGTAGATACTACAGATCCGAACGGTAGCGATTACATACCTGTATTGCTTTCCTGCCATGCTGTAAGATATTGCGACATACACGCTGGCTTAAAATCATGAACGTTGAGCCAGGTGGTGGTGGCGCATGCCTTAAATCTCAACACTTGGGAGGCAAGGGAGGTGGATCTCTGTAAGTTCCAAGCCAGCCTGGTCTACAGAGCAAGATCCAGGACAGGCACCAAAACTACACAGAGAAACACTGTCTTGGAAAAAAAAAAATCATGAACATGCATTCTCTCAGAGCTCTGGAGACCGGGGGGTCAAAATCAAGGCACCTACAGGGTCAGTCCTGTCTGGAGGCTCAGAGCAAAGCATGCCACATCCTCTCTCCCAGCTCTGGTGGCTTCTGGCCATCGCTGGTGCTCCTTGGCTCATGAATGGCCCCCTGCAGTCTCTGCCTCTGTCTTTGTATACCCTTCTTCCTATGTCTGTGTGCTTTTGAATCCAATTTCCTCCTCTCGCACTGAGCTAAGTCCACCCATCCAGTGTGACCACATATTAACTTGATTATATCTGCAAGGACCAGACTTCCAACGGCAAGGTCAAAAGAAAGTCACAGTCACAGTCTTAGGAACTTAGACTTGAATGTATCTTTCTGTGTATATGTGTGTGTGTGGGAGGGGGTGTGCAATTCCTCTTGTAACATCAGTCAACTTTGATGTTTTTCCCAAAACAAATACCCTTATAAGTTCATGTGCCTCTAAATGAACATTTTAAAACTGTATATAATAAAAGGGCCCCAGTCTGGATGCATAGTATTAAATAACCAAGTCTCCTTTTTATTCCCCAAATTCCAAGACAGTCCTGGCCACTGGAACGCTCTTGGGGGGACTTGACCAGCATGGATTTTATGGCCATTCCGACTGTCCCTATGGTATGGACGTGTTGAGGAGAGCTTTATTTCTGTGTTTGTTTGTGTTAGGTCAGTTAGATCAGACAAGCTCTGAAACCAGAGCCTTGTGTAAGCTCGGGCTAGTGAGAGGGAATGTTTAAGGCCCCATTAAACAAGTCTACAGTACGCATCTTGTCTTCAGCCTGTCTGCTGGCAAGATGATAAAAGCAAAATGCAGATGTTTCCTTACATGCTAAATTAGTTCATAAATCATGTGCGCGAACGAGCCCCGGCTGCAGCGTTGAGACGTCCGATGGAAGGAAGGCTCAGGTTTGCTTTTCCATGCTGGGGTAGCTGCCCCTGATGAGAGGCGGTCTTGGCTCAGGGACAGACCTGAGTGCTTCAGGTGGGAGCTCTGGCACCTGACGAGGCTGAGAGAGGCCTTGGATTTGCAGGAGCAATGACGAAAGGGACCAGGGGCCAGCTGTTTCATGTTGCCTGCTAAGTTTTAAGCAGCCTCAGAGGCTTAGGGACAGATTGCGGCATGTGTGTACGCACGCATATGCATACATATGTGGGTGTAAGTGCTAATTAGGGCGAAGGGTCTCTGTTTGAAGGGCAGGGGAAGTTTTATGAGCAGATGGGGGTGACGGAGGGCTCATGAAGTAGCTTTATAAATTCCTGGCTACAGTCCCCAGCTCCTGATGGGGAGCTTCCCATTGCATGGAGGTGAACGGAAACTAAGCAGGTGGGTTCTGGTGCAGGGTGGGTGGGGAGAAGAGCACAGAAGTGAGAAGTGGCTGGAGGCTCTCCGTATAACTATGAAGATGGGGTTAAGGGAGACGAGAGGGCCAAGGATCAGCTCAAGGAGCAGTGACTGCAGGGAGCTAAAAGGTATAGCTACTAAGTTTGTCTTGTGCAGGGGTCAGAAGATGGGGGCAGCTTGCTGTGTAGAAGAGTAGCTAAGGGCCAGAAGCAGTAAGGGCAGAGGCTAGGGAAGGTCCTGGGGTGTAAGACAGGTAGAAAAGGTTCTTGGGTGGAAAAGTAAGTAGCAGGTGGCAACTATTGAGCTGTGGAAGAAAAGCTGAGATGATAAATACTCTAGCCTGTGGGCTTCTGTCTTCTCCCAGGTCAGCACCCTGTCAATTCACTAAAGTCACTTGGAACTGTAGGTGACACTTCTCCACCATCAACTCTGTGCAGGATCATGAGTGGATGGAGCCATGTGCAGGTTATTGGTAGACAGAGCCTTGGGCAAACACCAACTGTAGCCTGATGGTCGAGTGTTTCAGAATTAGCTGCTGCCTCTTCCTTTCAAATGAGCCCAAAGCAGAGTAGCCTGATTGTATATGGGAAGCATATACAATCAAGTACAGCCATGTGGGCACCTACATTTGGCAGGGTTTGTACCTGCAAGAGGTAGGTGGCGACCCTTGCCATTCTCTATCGACCCATTCAGGACTTCATCCTGTTCTCACCGAAGCTCCCCACACTTGGCCTTGACTGTCTTCCACTGGAGTCTCAGACCCTCCCTGGGTCACATCCCTGTCATGTCCAGATCCCCCCTCCTATCTCTGCCACCCCCTCCCTAGTTGATCTCATTTTCTATCTTCCCTTAACTTCCAAATGATGACAAAATGCTGGATGGAAGCATGTCTGCCCCTTCTCTCTGCAGCATGGCACCCTGTCTGAGCTCATGTCCAGTCTCTTTAAACTCTTACCCCTAAAATCTCCCCCTTGACACATAGCTGGTGTATGGAGGCTTTTGCTCCTCAACTGAGCTCTCTTTAAAAGATGAGCTACTAAGGCTACCTCAGTGCTACAGACTCAGCCTGACAGGGCCTCACACAACCAGCCTGTGTGGCCTGACTACTTCCTCAGCCCATTTCCCATCATCCTTTTGTCATGGCCTGCTTCCATGGCCCTTCCAATTTTGGTTATGTATCTGACCTTTAGGCATGCAGAAAAACTACCAGGAGCATCAGCTTTCACAAGCCCCTCTTTCCTCTACACCCCCACTTCTGTTTGGTTCTTAACATTTACAAATCTCCCACCTCCATGCCTTCTTCACTTTGGACTATCTTCTGTTGGTGTGCTGGGGCAATGTCCCCCAACCAGAAAGAAGCACGGGTGGCCACATGGCACACCAGACTCCCTGCTGTATCTCATGAATCAGACAGACTTAATCTGAAGTTCATTATCCACACTTCCCAAGGTGGGCCAAGCCTTTCAAATCACGGGCCAGCAGAGGGACGGAATTCTCTAGAAGGCACTTGCAAATTTCCTTTCCCAGAAGACTGTTGACAGTTCTTGGC